TCTCTTATACGCTTGTCTCTCACTTAGGATGCTTGACCCCAGGTCTTTAAAATCATCCACCTTCTTTGCCTTCTACTTCTCCCAATTTCATTTATTCACTTGCCTCCTCTTCATTTACATACATGAAGTGCTCGCAGATTCAGCACCATATGACCTTCGATTTTCTGTTTTGTGTTGCTTCAGGGCATTTTCAGTGGTTTTATGGTTTTAATGAATGTAAATGAAAGAAACAACAGATTAAACTAAATATGTAAGAAGGTCAGTGGTTCTGACTGACTCCTCCAGTTTTCTATAGATAAGAGTTGTACACATTAAATAGGTGGTTTAAAAATGTGCTTGTGTGAGTTGGTGAATGTAACCTACAGCATAAAAGCTCGTTGAATGGTTAATAACATTGGAATAGTGATTAAAAAAGGTCATGAAAATGTGAGATTGTGTTTACCGTCTAATTAAAATTCAAATATATTGTTTGTTAGGTCATTTTACAGCTAAAGCCCCGCTCTGCTGTTTTGATTATGAAAAAAGGGGGGGGAAGAGGTGGAAATCAAGAGTTAATATCAGCCTCAGCTAAACCTTTAGCTCCAGAGAGAGACTCACATGAGGGAAAGACATGGGTGGAAGCAGAGATTACTCGGAGAGATAGAGTAAGGCTGGTTAAAGAGGATCAGTTTATCTTCACACAGGCCTACATGGCTACCTGAGGGCTTGGAGGTGGAAGGCGGGGGGGCGACTTTTAATCCTTCATTTGATCATAACACAGCAAAACTAGGTTTGGATGCCCTGTTAGACATGCTAATTACACATATCTGAGTAAGTGAGGCACTAGTTTGTGTATTTTTAGACACTTGCCGAGGCTGCTTTTTCAACATTTCATTTTTATATAAGTCTGTGATTACTTACTTACTGCGTTGCATCTGTTTACAGTTATTTATTCATCTGCTGGGACTTAAATTTAGCTGCTCTGGCGAAATGATGGTTTCCACTGGGGTTTTAGCTACCATCAGAGGATCTCTGGTTTCATATGAAAGTGCTTCCCCCTATGGACGACTGTCGGTACTACAGGAAACACATTTGGTCTCCTAATTGTGCTCCAGCTCCAGCATGCGTGATATGGTTGACTGGGCTTGTTGTTCTATTCTGTTTTGTTAGTACAGTTTCGTTGCCATCTGAAATGCTTTTGCAGCTGAGAATCCACCAAGATGCCCCTCAGGAAAAATAATAATATTATATATTTTTTTAAATGTTGTTTATTCATAAAGGAAAGAATCCTATTAGCAGAATCAAAGCGTGGCTAGGCTGAACAATAGCCTTTAGGAAAATATAATTAGGGCAAGGTTAGCTGAGGATGCCTAGTCTCATTTCCTCCAGTATCCTCTTTTATTAGTAGCTTTTCCAGATTTTTTACCTCTGGTGAGGGATTTAAGTTGATTTATATCCATATCCACATGTTGAACAGCCTTTGTATCTGAGTCTACTGACATACACATACAGACAAACACACACACACATACGCACATACACACACACAGACTCATCCCAGATGGAGACAGGCACGGATTAGTGAAGATTTTACTTCATTTAATAAACAATTGAATGACACAGTTCTGAGGATAAACCTGCTCAAAGAAGCACAAGAATAGTCTGGACTTAGAAGACTACAGGTTATTATCGCGCTTCATCACAAAATCTCCGTGTATCATTCAGAAATGCTGTTTGCATGCACTGCTTCTGCAAGCTCTCTGCAGAAATTCATAGCGAAAAGCGACCTGCAGAAAAAAGCTGGTCCTCTCTAATTGGGCCTTTTGTACACGCTGTATTTTGATCAGCATACACTGAGCATGTGACCATTTAGAGAAGTCGGAGATACGCCACACAGCTGCATCACAAACAAGACCATTTATGCAATAATATTACACAATTGTTGCAGCATGTACATATTGCTTTATTGATGGGCATGACAGTAAAGACGATAGCTGGTGGAAATGAAATCAGAGAGCTAACAGGATTTGCGAGGGAAAAATCTATGTTTCAGATCTGAAAATAGATGATTTCGCTGCACCCTGGGCTGCTGTACATTACCAATCAAAAACAGGCTGATCTGACGGCTGATATGGGCATGGCGGTGGTGATGATGATGGCGATAAAGATATTAATCTCATGCACACATGCCCAATAGATGGCTTTACTCCTCAACATGGCTGGCACGAGCAAATGAGGAACAAACAGGAAGAATGTTTTCCTTTCGTTTACATGTCACAGTATAAATCACAGCTTTTGACATCTTTACATGTGTTGATGAAAAATAAAAGCAGGGTAGATCTCCCCTCAGTTGGTGACGTCCCTTTTATCTACAACCAACACTGTGTCCGCATTTTAGCATTCAATATTTATGCGATTACATGCCAACAGATGATGAGCTTCAGTTTGAGTATGAATGAGCAGCTCTGCTACATCTACTAATTGTAAGCGTGCCTCTGTAGGATTGATACATTTAAGGGTCTTATTAGTTTCAGTACAGCCTACTGAAAGGTCAAGGTTCACCTGTGTATTTGCACATTCACCCAAAGGGAGATCAAACTGCACTGCCCCTCATGTGCACCACGTGATCGCAATCCAAAAAATCCACCCGACATAAGAGGTGTTAGGGTTGGATGCAGGAGTCAAGTTGCTTTCTGCCTTGAAAAATATTTTTTAGATAATTTTCTTCTATCTAATGTTTCTGATTGCATCATTTGCAAACAGGTTCAGCTGAGGTCACCCTAACCCCGTAACCACCCCACAGTTTTGTAATTGAAAAGCCTACATGTTGCTGTGATGATCGTGACCCTGGTATTGGTGGGAGAAATGATCGTGTGTTACATCATATCTGTGTACAGCTGAGCTCTTTTGCTCACATGAGGTGAGAGGATTGAGTCTGAGATTGTTGAGGGATTAGTCAGAAGGACTTACCAGATTCAGAGATTGAGAAATTAAGGGATAGGAGCACCACACTTGCGGGGTCATATTGTCCCAGGAGGAAAAAGAAAGCACTGAGTCACTGCAGGAAAAAGTGCATGTGAAAAAACCCCAAAAACAAGTTCTGTTTCATTTTTTGGTGCTTTATACATGCACACACACTTTCCTCCTTTCCATCTGTGCCCACACCACCACCCTCTGACTAATTCTCCTGCCCCTGCTTGGCTTCACTGTGGGAGAGAAGGAAGGCGTGTCTGCATGAACAGATGTGGGGATCTCAGCTGGATGTCTATGGATCATAACGCTGCCTCCCATTCCTCTCTGCTACGCCCTGCCATCCATTTGAGCGCAGGAGGGACACTTTTCACTGTTTCATTTGCAGCATTTAAAGGATATAGCAGCAGTGGGTCTTTTTCACGTCCTTGGCTTTAGTTTTTAAAGCAAGCTCCAAACTGGAGACTCAGACGGGGACCAGCTGCTGGGATCAGTTGATCCAGCTTCAGGTGTCTGGTTCGGGTGACTGGGCACCCTGTGAGTTCAAAAAGATCTCTTTTGTGTTATCGTTTCCCACAACCTGTCTTCATATCACCATGACTGCTTCATTATCATCATTCCACCTCCGTCGTTTCGTCTTTGGTTTCTTTTCTATGTGCAAATGTATTTAAGAGTTTAAGAGGAAGCATTTTCCAACCACATCAGCTTCATCCGAATGTTAACAGTAGTGAGATAGTGGACACTTGTAAATATGACTTTTGGTTGATGAAATTAGTTTGAGATAAGCCAAAATTCTACTTTCTTTACCTCTTAAACCTGTATCAGATGCAGATGAAGAACCAAATATAGCGTTTTAATTTGCATCTTAACGAGTGAAAAGAAAAGCGTTAATATCCTCCAATAAAAATAAAGAGTTACAATTTTCATGTATTGATACGAAGGGTCAAGTTTGTTTTTCTCCTTCACCATTTGCTCGTTTCCCATGCAGAACAGTAGAGACTTAATCTACTGTAGTGTAAATCTTTTATGAAGGCTAAATTTGAGAATTTAGAGGCTGGGTGTGTGGTGATTTAGATCTTTGTTGATTTGGCAGCACTAATGTCCGCTTGTTTTGCCATAGATAATAACTTAAGAGATACTGATTTAAATTAAAATTGTCAAGAGTGCTCAGATCAGAGAAACTAGAGTAGTAATCTCCACCTTCTGCAATGTTATCATTGAGTTTTTACTACATATGAAGATGTTACAATGAAGCCATTAAGTCATTTGACAATTTTAGTTATTGTTTTTGTGCTGTTCAAAAGTTTTTATGCCGCTAATTTTGGTTCATCCAGTTTAAAGAACGATGAGCATACGCCACTTATGCCACCGTTTACTAGTCCTCCTGTTCTAGTCGTGGCCAGATTTTAGTGAAACTTACTTAAAAATACACAAGTTGTGTTCAAGGTCAACTCACATTTGTCATATGACGGGCAATAACCTGGGAATTGTGAAGGATCATGAGATGGATGAGCTGCTACGTCTCTGATGTTCTGGTTTCCTGAGTAGTTCTTTTCATATTGCAGATCAAAACAATTGCTGCGAAAAAAGATGGTTAAAATCACTCAACTAATATCTCTTACATGGCCATGATGATGGCAGACATTTACAGAACAAAAACAAAAGAAAACGGATTATTGATATTCAGACAACTTAAAATAGAATCAGGGTGATTTTTATACCAAAGTATTATTAAAAATTATTGCTTCAGCTTCTTATATCAGTGAAAGTCAGTGCTGCTTCTCTCTCCCTAATATTATTACGTGAATATCTTTGATATCTTCCATGACTGCAAAATAATGATCTCTTGTTGGAGCCCTGCAAAAAATGGATTCAATCTAATCCCCAGAAATAAGTCGAATAAAACAAACGCAAAAGTTAAACTGACTTATTGTGTTGCCATAGCAACCTGGCTTTCTGCAAAAAGCAGTCAAGGCTGCTGTTCAGCTGCTCCGTCGAGGTCATGATAAGAAGTGCTTTTTAAACCCTTGTTATCACTGTTTTGGTTCCAGGTGACACAAAGAAGGTGGAGTTCCCCAGAAAAGAGATGGAGGTGGTACAAGGCCAGATGGTGGTGTTACAAGCGTGGTACAGCCCCAGCGCAGACACTTCCAAAAACTCTGTCATTTGGTACTTCTCTGGGAACGAGTCCAAGCAGGTGAGAAGGGAACAGCCAAAGCAGTGTAACGTTGTGCTGAATAGCTGCTCTGACCTCTGGTGCAAAGACAACCGAGAGCCTCTTTAAAGGGATTAGAGTAAAGTACGGTTTGCTAGTTGGTTCTCTGGCAAGCGCTACAGAAGCTTTACATCTAATGCAAAAACTATTAGAGCTCAAACAACGAACTGAACTACTTTGCGTAGATTATTTTCTATCATACAATATCAGTTTAAAGACTGTATTTAAAGCTGTGTTTAGATCTTCTTATTGTTTAATTTAAGCAAGAGGAAGAGAGTAATGTTGCATTGCATGACAATGTTACATTCTGACTCACCCATAGAGATTTGTAAAACATGTTGATATGTAGAGATTAGGATTTTTTCTAAAGCCACTGTCTAATTCATAGTGGAAGGAAGAAGGGGAGGGCGTTAGGAAGGACAATATGCCTCTAATGACACTTGAGCCCTACATTGTGCTGTACCTCTCTTACATAGCACACGCTGCTAGTGAACTTGCACATGCCTGCACATGCACTATGTTTGTGTGTGTTTATATGATTAATATTATCTAAACAGTTTCCAATGCCTGTGAGATTATCTCAAACAGAAAATCGGGCTAAAATTCAACATCCACCATCTGTAGATGCCAGGATTATCTTTATGAAGGACATGGTAATCTGCACATCTTAATATCAGGCAGAATTCAAAAAAATGTTCATTTGAATGAAATAATCCATATCGATGTAGTGATGTCTGTGTTTCTGTGGACGTGTTCTCTCCGTGCAGGTGATAAACTTTAGCTCAGGTGAGGTCGGACACGGTCAGAACGAGTTCACAAAAAGAGTGGGCTTCAGTGTGGCCATGCCCTCGGCCAACCTCTCCATCTACATCAATAACACCCAGGAATCCGACTCTGGTCGCTACACGTGTATTGTCATCATCCCCGGAGCTCCTGGCATTTCTGGGGAGATGAGCCTTAATGTCAAAGGTAATGGTCCGCAGCGTCAGAGGAATTTCAAAGGTTAGATGTAATCAGAAAGTCTGCAGTGCAGCTCACACACTTCCTCGGATTTGGAAGTTCAGGCGAAGTAAATGCTAAGCATATTTTAAAGGATTCAGGATTAGACCAGTCTGTCAAAAATCATATATTTATATGAGAAAGCACTGTCCACATAAAACTCATCTGCTGTTTAGGGATTCGCTGGGCTCTCAGGTTGTTATGTCATCCTCCAGCAGCAGATTGAAACGTACTTTTTTTTTGCGGCGTGGCTACTGCCCTGAGACATTTCCACATCGCTGGCGCTGCATTACAACTACCATAGAAGTTCACTAAATGGGGCTGCTGGTGTAGCTTCTTATCACACATGTTTTAAATCACTAACATTATCTGTCCCTCTGCCCAGTCCCTCCTTCTCCCCCAGTGTGCACCATGACAGGGAACCCAGTGGTGAAGGGCAATGTGACTCTGAGCTGTAAGTCCAGTCATGGAAAGCCTGTCCCTCAGTACAAATGGACCAAGGCTGCACCCATGTCTGAGGTCTTCTTCTCTCCAATGCAGAGTAAGTATTTTCCCAGCACGCAATGCCTAAACTTAAATTACTCGTCCCCCCTCCTGCCTGCAAAAACAACTCTCCACCCACTCCATATTTGCTCACTTGATGTCATGTTCATCCTTTCAGGTTATGTTTGCCCAGGTTTTGCATCAGCACTGAAAAAAAAGTCCCCATCGAGCAGTGTGCTCTGGTGATTATACAAAGACTGTAAGGACCTGTTTCACAGGCGTCATACTGTGGCAGGAAAAAGCACACCGATCATTTCAGGTTCCTGCTGTTGTTGCTAGTTTGCTGTGGTGTTTCACTGATGCAACTGATGGAACAAAGCCATCCTTAAAGAAGCTGGTTTCACTTTGGCTTTACCTCAGCAACATGGGTTCAGAATGTCTCCCATTAAAGATGAATTTCTCAGAGGTAAACATGGTAATACCTGAGCAAAAGTGTTTTTATTTCTATTATTCATTAACTTAGTGTTTCACAACAGGAAGAGTTATTCAAACTAATTTCCAGAAAGAGTTATCATACTGAGAATACAATAGGATAGCGGAAACTCTTCCAGTATGTTGGACCAGGTCACTTTCCATATTCCGCTTAATTTTCTGACTGTAAATCTCTATATGCGTTTTCATGCTGTGTCAAAAATGAAAGACCAGAGGAATTCATAGCCTTATAGAAACTGTGCAGCAGTCAAAGACAAGAAGGGAAGAGCAAGTGCTTTGATGCCCTTTTCCCCAGTAAGGTGTTTGGGTTGTTTGAAGCCTGAGAACAGGAACTAAACAAGACCAAAGAAAAATAGCCTCTGCTTGGGTTTAATGTTATCCTGAGACTTTCAAAATAATATCATTATTAATCATAATCAATAAGTCAGCTATTTAACAAAAACTTTGAATTAACTGTTGAGGAATTACAGATATTTTTTATAGTCTCCCATTTTCAGAGGATCAGAAGCTGTGTTTCCTCCCTTAAGATGCTCTGCTAAGCCGTTACTGCTGCCACCTTCAGTTGTTGCTTGTTTGCACCTCTCAGCCTCACATTTATTTTCTATACCCAATTTCGTTGCCTTGAGATACTCTTGGGATGCTTTTGCAGTTTGCTTTTGGTCATCATCCATTTGCACTTTACTGCCTGATCAGTTTTGCAGCATTTGGCTGAATTTGAGCAGAGAGTGTAGCAGCAGTCACATCATCAAAAAACAATAGTGACCCAGTTCCACTGTCCACCTTACATGCCCACGATATAACCTTGTCTCCACCATGTTTGACAGATCATGTGGCATGCTTTGGATCATAAACTGTTTCTCGCCTTTTCCATATTTTTATTTTCCTGTCATTCTGGTACAAGTTAATCTTGGTTTGATCTGATCAAAGAGGGGGTTTTTTCTGTTTTCAACCATGGAAATAATTCTGTCATCATCCACTTTAGTTGTTTTCTGTAGTCTATGGGCCTTTTGGTCTTGGTGAGCTGATCAATTTGTTTCTTCTTTCTTTCTTAAGATTGTACCAGATTGTTATTTAGTCACTCCTGAAGCTTTCGCTGTTTGATGGGTTTATTCTGTTTTTTTCAGCCTCTCCCACTTTTCCTGAAATCTCTTTGGGCCTCATGTTTAAAATCACCATGAAAAGCTATAAGATATAAATTCAAGACCTTGAAACTTCACATATTACATCTGCTTTGTTTCATGAAATAACAAGAAATCAGCCATAAAACCGCTTGATGGAATTGATGGAACTATTTTAAGCCTCTGAAAATAGTAGACTATGTATAAAAATGGCTGTAATTCCTGAAAAGTTCATGCTAAATTTGTTGTGCAACCCTTTAAAAGTCTGCACTTCCGTCACATCTTAACCGTTTGATTTTAAATCCTCTGAAGAGGCAAAAGTACAAAAATGTTGTCTTTAATTATGGAACTAACTGTATCTTTTAAAAAAGGGCCACCAGTTGTTATTATGGTCACATACTTAGTTAATCAAGTTTCAAAGTTTAGCAAAATCACACATTTAAAAATAACAACTAGGAAAAAAATAACCCACTAACAGAAATAACAGAAACCTTGCTCGTCTCAGTTTATCCACAAAAAACACATAGATGACAACTTGAATATGCAAGAACCAAATCACATAATCCTGCTGAGTTCAGAGAATTGTTTTATTGAAGTGATGAAAGTGAATTGGAACACATGGTCAAAGCCTGCCAAAAAGACCATAAGATGTGGAGATTTGGTACTCTGTTACAGAGCAAAGCATCTTAGATCGTTGGAAGAAAGCTGTACTTTCTTAATGATGAGTTTTTCTGGGAAGGGGGTGACCCCAGCACTTCTAAATGTTAAAACACTGGTTCAGGAAACATGTCCCCGGATTTAAATCCCTTTTAAAATCATCAGTGAGATTTAAGCAAAACAGCTGCAGCACAAAAGGAAAGGAATATTAGTGAATTCAATATTAGTGAATATGAGAATATTAGGAGCAGAACACAAAAGACAGGAACGTTTGTCAGAAACTATCAGAAATGTATATTAATCATTATAGCAAAATGCACTGCTTGTTCGTCACAGTATTGCACACAGTCCGTTAAACCTCGGGCATATCAGTCTGTCCAGTTAGGACTGATAGATCATTATGAATACATTTAGTGCAAATGAAAGAGGGTTTTACTTGTAGTGGCCACAGATTGTTGCTCTCTCCTTATCCCTCCTGATTGAGTTTGCTCTAGTTTTGTTTTGTGTTGGTGCCCTCTTCACTACTGGCCAACAGAGTTATTTGCATCTCCCATGACAGTCTATCAGTCATTACATGAGGACATAGACAGAGCCGTAGAAGTGCATCAACCAGGAGGACTGGTATATGCTCCTTTGTGCCAGGAGGAACAGAAGGACCGCTGACAGAGCCCTACAGAATGACCTCCAATGGGCCGCGTATGTGCATGTTTCTGACCAAACTGTCAGAATCAGACTGCGTGAGGGCAGCATTAGTCCCAAATGTTCTTTAGAAGAACCTGTCCTCTGTGCATCTGCCAAAGAACAGCAGAACTGGTAGGACTTTTCTCTCAAAATATGACAATAGGTTCACACTGAGCAGATATGGATGGTGTGAAAGAGTCGGAAGACGCTGTGGCGAATATTATAATGCTTCCAACATCATCTGTGAAATGAATGGGGCACCAGTGATCGACCTGCCAGTTCTAGTGTTCGGCTGCGTGATGTCAGTCTGTGAACACATGCTGTACTAAAGGATGCCGATCCCTATCATCTATCACCTCCTGCTACTCCTCGTACAAAGGAGCAGATACCAGTAATGCAGCTCTCCTCCTTGTATCCATTTCCTAGTATCTCCTCCACACTCTTGAGGCTGTTCTGGGAGACACAGCAAAGCTTCTTGCAATGGTACACATGAATGGGGATGTGCTCTCCTGGACAAGCTGGACTACATGTGCAACCTGAATGGACTGCAGGTACTGTCTCATGCAAAAGTAGCAGCAAGATTACTAAGAAAAAGCAAAATTGCAGAAAAGTCATTCAGAGTGTATAAAGAGAGAGTAATGGTCTGTGGCTACCACATGCAAAACCATTCCACTGTTGTGATCCTCTCCAGCACACCTGTTGTCACTTTCATCTGAACCACAGCAGGTGAAATGGATTCACAGTGATTCATGATTCCCAACTGAACAGATTGACTCTGTCGAAGTTTAATTATTTGAAGCTGTTTTGTCTTTGTTCACTACAGTATAGTGAATAAATAAATGATTCCCTTGAGTTTTATTGTTTACACCAGCAGGATAAAGGGGTTGAATAATTTTGACTGCAGCTGTAAATGTTTCAAATGGACTTCAGAGGAAGATCCTCGATCGTGGCATGACGCACAGTGTGAAATCCTCTTTACTGAATGAGACACGTAGCATTCTCCTTTCAACGTGCTGCACAAGCGCAAGAGAGAAAACAGGAATTTCTTGCATTATTTTTCACAAAGAAAAAAAAGACGCCATCTGTTTCTGAGCAGTAGGACTTTGGCTGATTGATTGAGTATTGACTTAACTGTTCTGATCTCTGGCCTTCATCTCTTTAAGTCCTCAAACTCATAACATGAAAACTACTCCCTCTGATTATGCATCCTCTCACATGCTTTCAACAGTCGAGCTCCAACCCTGCGCGCATCTTTTTATGCACACTGATATATGCCAACTCTGTGACACTTGAACTTTACTCTGCCCATCACTGCTTATCCCTTTCAGCAGTCTCTCTCTCTCTCTCCCTCTCTGTTTTTTCCTCTCTCTCTGCTGATCCTCTCGCCGCACTTCTCATTTCCTGTTGGCCTAGGTACCTAATCTAACAAGCCCCATGTCATTACTTGATCAGCCCCTCTAAGAAGCATAAGTTGGATTTGGGACAGAGAGTGCAGCACATCTTGCTACCCCTCCCTTCAATTTCTACCATTCCCTCTCTACCTTTCATTTAAGCTCACTCTCTTTTTCATCTTTTTGTAAAAAAATAATTGAAAGAGTGGAGAGCCTGCCCCCAGACCATGCTTGTCCTTGGGTTCATGGGTAAGGGCTTTCAGTCATACGTTTTTCAGTTATTCCCCATACTCTTTCTCACCTCTACCTGCAAGAATAATTATGTTTGTAGAGTCAACATGGCACTCCTTAAGCTCTAAGAAAGCTTTAAAGGAAAAGACAAATCAACCCCATTTGTAATAATGCTTATAATAGTATTTTCAAAAATTTAAAATAAAAAGACTAGATTCAAACTCTATAAATATTAATTATAAAACCACTCAGTTGTCTTTATTTTAACCATTTGGAATTGTGAACCAGTGTTTTATGCTGTAATCTTTCCTGACTATTTCCATGACAAGCAGGGGTTAAAGTGGGCTGGAACAATCTGGAACAGCACGAGTAATTAAATCTGACAGACAGGTTATTGTACAGTGGTGAACAAATCTTTTCCCCTTTCCAGATTTCCTGTTTTTTTTGGTGTGTTTGTCAAACTTAAATGTTTCAGATCATCAAAGAAATGTAAATATTATACAAATATAATGCAGGTAAAGAAAAAATGCATTTTCTACATGAAGCTGTTTATTATTTAGGCAAAAAAATAATTATCTAAATCTACATGGCCCTGTGTGAAAAAATAAGAAATAATGTAATTGAGATCTCTTAGTCTGGTAAAGTTTATAAAGCCATTTCTAAAGCTGTGGTACTACAGTGAGAGCCATTATCTACAAATGGTGAAAACATGGAACAGTACCCTAAGAGCACAAGGACGACTCATCCAAGACTTTAAAAAGACCCCAGAACAACACCCAAAGAACTGCAGGCCTCACTTGGCTGAGTTATGGTCAGGTGTTCATGACTCTTTAGTAAGAAAGAGACTGGGCAAAAATGACCTACAAGGCCAAGTTCCAAGACGAAAACCTCTGCTGAGCAAAAGGAACATAATGGCTCAACTCAGTTTTGGAAGAAAACATCTTGATGATCCCCAAGACATTTGGGAAGATGCTCTGTGGACTGACAAGACAAAATTTGAACAGTTTGGGACATGTGTGTCCCATTACATCTAGTGTAAAAGTAACACCACATTTCAGAAAAAGCAGAAAAGGAGACTGTCGGGCCATCTGCTTCTGACCTCAAGCACACTTTGGTTCTGCAGCAGGACAATGATCCAAAAAACACCACCAGAAATGAAGCCTTCGGAGTGGCCTAGAATTCAATTCTAGCATGTGGCATGACCTTAAAAAGGTGGTTCATGCTCGAAAACTCTCCAGTGTGGCTGAATTACAACAATTCTGCAAAGATGATTCTGCCAGAATTCCTCCACAGTGCTGTAAACTCAGTTATTGCAAACGCTTGATTGCAGTTGTTGCTGCTAAGGGTGGGCCAACCAGTTATTAGGTTTAGGGGCCATTTACTTTTTCACACAGGGTCATTTTTTTTCACTTAATAATAAAGGCTTTCATTTAAAAACAGGATTTTGTGTTAACTTGTGTTATCTTTGTCTAATATTTACATTTGTTTGATGATCTGAAACACTCAAGTGTGACAAACAGAAAAAAAGAGGAAAATCGGGAATGGGGCAGCACTGTATATCACTATTGAATGAGTTCATTCTTCATGTGCTGCAGGCTGTGGTGGCTGCCAGGGGCAGCTTGGTGGTACTTACTCAGTAACAAGAAAAAAACTGACATCCCAAGGCCCACTTACACTTTCAACACATCCCTCTTTTTATTGTTGCTGTGATGCGTTCATGGTGCAGAAGTAAATTTGTTGTGGTACTTAGCAACTGGGTAGCTACTGAAGTAAGCATAACAGAGTAACATTTTTTTTAAATGGCAGGTAGTTTTAAATGCAACATTTTAATCAACTTAACAAATGTCACCAAACACACACAACTGTTTCCGTGCAGTTTTTCAAAAAGTGGACAGTTTCTGTATTTCCCAGGGGGAAAAATGTTAATGTGTGACATTGACAGAGAAAGGGAAGAAAGGAAAGGAAGATCAAAGGTTATTTTCAAAAGTAATCATTGCTCAGCGTGTGACATTTTTATGGACTAGTAAGTTAAAATTTATGTGTAATTTTCTGATTCATTTTAGAGTGCTTAATTAAAATTTTGGATCTATAGGTGATGTGTTGCTAAATTATGTTTTTGTGAAATGTCTTCCAAAAACAAATTTAAGTCATTTAAATTTTAAGAATATACTGTTCAGGCTAGTGCAGGGTACACTGGTTAGTTTACAGTAATGCAGTGCGCTTGACTGGTTACAGCTAGGGCAATGTTACCAGATTACATCAAAGGTAGCAGACATCAAGGTATAAACCTTTTATACTAGCTTTATTGTATCTAGTTAGGGGGTTGGAAATCGGCCATATAGCCTGTGTAACATCTGCTTTAGATATTGTTGAATTCAGTTGGTTGCATCATCAGACAGAGCAATGAATATTAGAGTAGAAACCCAGGTCAGCAGATCACAGGTTGTACACAAGGACAAACCTACTGGAGCTTACAAAACAATGTCTTATGTGCCCTTTTTCTAAGTGATTCTTAAGACTAAGACTTGATCTTGGTGTTCCCCACCTGCCAAATCCCACTTTAACCCCTCATGACAAGGACTTTTAAACTTCCAAGCCTCATTAATATTAAGCGGAAGGGTTGACTTTGTCCTTTAAATCTTTGCAGTATGTTGTGTTAGATTTAGCTGTCATCCCATTGCAGTTTTTAACTGTGTACTATAAGATTATGTTAATTTATTATTGTGTAGTTAAGCTATGATGTGGGTTAATAAATAAATATGAATATAGTCAATAATAACCCTAAATTGTATAAATTTAATATGCTTTCATATTTTATTACTTATATATGAATATTTCACATGTGAAAAACATGAATATGATTTTCTTGCAGATATGGATAAAAATATCTGTAACCCTTTCAGTCACTTTTTAGCTTTCATGGCTAGCGAGTTAGCACACAGAATAACTGACTTAATCCAAGAGGACCTAAATATCACACAATAAAGTTTAAACTTTAAAAAAAAAACACAGCAAGCAATGTTTAAACCATATATTGAAAAAAATCTTATACAGTCATTGATTTAAAAAATAGTTAATGTTTGCTAGCTAGCTAGTAGCTAATTAGCTTTAGCTTAATGTGCTAGAAATTTGTTCAGCAGCTAGTTTGAAGTAACTGTAAAACTCAAAGGAATTGTTCAACTGTTTAAACTCATTAACTTGATATGTAAACTTTGTAACAATGCTATACAATTTGCAGTTTAGTGTGCTATAAATAAATGTTTATTAATAGCAAAATATAAAATTAGTAGGCTACAATACGAGTAATTAACAGTTTCTGCTGGCAATAGTTTTACTTATTTAGCTAAGTAAAACTATTATTACTAATATTACTGTTATTATTATTATTATTATGATTACATATTGTCTGTTCACTGTAGCTTTTTACAGCATATATGCTGTGTAAAAGTCTCAAGCCAACACTCATTTAAAAAAGAAAAAATAAATTGCCTCCAAGGAGTCAGATGTTCTAAGTTCTCCAGGCTTTATAAAGGGTTTAATAAAATATATATATATATATTATAATTTTATAAAAAAAAATAATTTTGACCACCTTTTTAGCTATTTAACACTAACCTATGACTTATTCAAGCATAAAAGAGGCACCTAAAGTCAAGGAGATTTATGGTGCAGAGTGCAAAGATGTCAGAATAAATTATGTTATTGTAAAAACCTATTTTTTTTTTTGCCCTATATACTGTATCTGTTTTAATATTGTTACTGCAGCCCAAAAACTCTTGAGACACTCCTCATACTAAGGATATCATTTAAACATAGGCATGAAATTAATAGATTTATGAGTGAATAAACAGGGAAAGGTGTCTTTTATGCTTCTGTTTTAGTTGTGCTTCTTACTTACTCGAAATTTTATCAGCTTATGGCTGTTTAGCCCTTTAGGTCAGAATTAATGTTATACCCTTTACTGACGTCCAAACTAAACATGTTTGCTTACATTGCTGTGCAAACTAATCCTGCATTCGATGGGCACATATGCCATGTGAGGTAGCTGACTATACTATTAGCTGCAAAGTCTGCCAGTTTCCATGAGTCACATGTCATGTGTCAAGGCTTTGACAAATGCTGCTCATTGACCTTGCAGTGATGGCAGCATAACATGAGTAATGGTCCCATCTTGACATGAAGTCGCACTTACTGTAACATCAAATCCCTGCAGCTCTGTTGCCACGGGGATCTGTGATCACTGTGCAGGCTTGAAATCGCTCCAAACGAGTCAGCTGATACGCGGCTAATCTGTCACAATTAGGTTGGGGCCTTCACAGCTGTTTTTTAGGCCCAGGGATTAAATAATCACAGCAGGACAGGTGCATATCACCCTTATCCACAACTGTTTTTCTTGGGTTTATTTTGATTTCTCACGCATAATGTTAACACGCTGGTCTTAAGCTTAATAAGCATAGGCATAATTTATTTCTACTTTTGATTTCAATGTTTTTTTAAGACCTAGAGGGGCAGGATATATGTCAGCAGCTTCTTCTTCTTCTGTATTTATTGAAAACACAACAGATTTAGAAATTATTACATCTGCCTACCTTAGCCCTCCTTGTAGTAGTGAAACAGGAGAGACAAAACAAAGCTCAGTCCAGCCTTTGCCCAACCAAAACTTTGGGATTAGAGCAGTTTGGGAATAATTATTAAAGATTTTGCTCACACCTTTCCACTAAATCTACTTCTTTTGCCCTTTGTGACTGACTCAATGCTTTACAGTCACTTTTTCAGGGGAGGGTTTCCAGTAAAATCAAACACACCTACTCTCAGTTGCCGCCATGAATCAAAATGAGATCAGATGAAGGCGTGCTGCGATATGACGTCTCAGATTGGATTTCAGAGGATTTGCTGTGATAAATCCAGCATGAAGCTTGTTTATTTTTCGACAGCCTATGTCTGCAACATAGTATTTTAAGATCAGATGTGCTAAGAGGAACAGATTGTGAGACTGATGCACATGCTCTCACTGCATGTGTGAGAAAATATGAAAACAAAAACTCATGTCCAGCATCAACAGACTAGTGTTGTTAGATTGCAGCAATGTAACATTTCTTTTCCTCCACTAAGTAATGGAAACCAGCCAATAATGGCCAGCCAATAATTATATTCTGTATTAACACTGCAATGATATGTTGAATACATTAGTCTTAGCATGATATAAAAAAACAACAAAAATAAATAAAGTGATACTAACATAATACTTGTGATACTGATAGAAAGAATCCCATGTTTAAGTTTAAAAGAGAAAACTAAGTTGCAAACGAACAAACTTTTTATTTTTAATAAATATAAATCCAGTTATAGTCAATTGTAATTGTGTATATATAGTAAGTCTGTTACTTCGTACTGTAGTAAGTTCATGTGTTTAGTTCCCTTGACGTTTTTCTTCTTCCTGGCTCAGATCACATAAATATGTGATTGTGAAGAGTGTGTAACTACAGTTGTTTTTTTCAGATGAGAGACACGGTACCCTCAGGCTGAGCAACCTCACTAAAAGCATGTCAGGGAAGTACATCTGTCGAGCCAGCAACACCGCCGGCTCCGACAGCTGCTCCATTAACCTGGAGGTTTTCACCTGTATGTACACAGCATGAACTCTGTTTTTATTCTCCTTCACCCCAGAGTATTTAAAAGTTTGTTTGGGAAATCACCACTCCATCTTTGTTACGTTTCTCAGCTTCCAACGCAGGTGTGATTACAGCAGCTACTCTGGGGTCAGTGGTGGGACTGGTGGCCATGGTGCTGTTTCTCATATTCATACTGAGGAGGAGAGGGGACACAGAGGAGGAGATAGCCAATGAAATCAAGTGAGTTTCACTGTCTGTAGAGTGGGCACTTTGTCACATTAAATCCTCTTTTATGCCTCTACAAGATCACAGTGACGCCATGCGTGGCTTATTATATTCTAATAAAAACATCATTAAACAAATTGCTGATGAGTTTAATATGTTATTCCCTTGTTTTAGGACATGTTGAACAGTAAAATTATGTCAGTTTTGTAAATTTTGGTCATTCCATGTAATCCAAAAGGAGGATTAGCCTGGATTTTCTCATTGGTTAATCACTTGTGATCAACAAGTCATTGGCCAATAAGCATCCAGTTTCCCTTCTCCAGTTTAAAAACACCACATAAAGGTTAAAATGCTCATCTCATGTCTTCAAACAGAAGTTTACCATTAAAAGGCTTATATCACCGGAGCTAAGGCTTTATACAGTCTATGTGTACATCATGTATTTCTTGACAGCTGTCAGAAATGTGGAGTAGTGAGATGTAATTTCTGTGTCCAAAAAATGATGATGATACAAATGGAAAGTAGAGTGTGTCGTCTCTGAGCACGACGTGACAGTAAAGTCATCCTATTCATCCTAAAGAGGCCATTTGGAGTCGAAGAGGGTAGATCCTGTTTTTTCTCATTATTTTCAATCCAGTTGTTTGGAGCAGGGCTTTAAATTGACTTTTGCTCAGTGTGAAATGTGCAGTGTTGCACATCATCCAACCAGAACCCCTGCACTAAGATATGGTAAGCGCCATAATGTGTGCCCTCCACCTCACGGTGTAATGTACCCACAAATTTTCCAAAAAAAACCAAACAAGCCTTCTGCTTCTAAGAGTCCGTTTACAGTAATGCAAAGCAGTGATTCAGCAAGTATGTGTTATCTGTGTTTTCATGCTATCCTAGTTTTTGTGCATTTTTGAACATTTAACCTTTGTAACTGATACTGTGTAAGTAGAGCATCGTTTACACTAAATCAGTAGTTTACAAGCGCTTGATTGTTAGGAGATCACGTGAGTATAAAATACTGTCACTCAATGTGTTTTGTTGACAGTATTGCAGCTGCAGTGTCCGTTATCGTTTTACTTGAAGCACTTCACTTCTGTTTTGTTTTCTGTCTCCTTTTTAATGATTTTTCTTTCACCCTCTTTCCTTGCTTTTTACCGCAGGGAGGACGCTCAGGCACCAAAGCGAGTGTCATGGGCAAAGAGCAACACAGGCTCAGATGGTATGTCCAAGAATGGCACGTTATCCTCCATAGCCACCAGCCCTCAACCACGAGACCCCCATCAGCCCAACTTCCACTATCCGTACTCCCCGATATCAGCTTCAGACGCGAGCTCAGTGATCAACGCCTACCAGCTGCGCCCTGGAGAAGCCAATACCTTACAAGGGCTTCCTGGCTACAACATCGGAGGCACGCCGTCGCGTAAACACAGGCGGCCTCCGAGTGCAAACGGGGCTCCTTCGCAGGTTCTCAGGAGCCCTGCGGTCACCAACCCCAAAAGAACTGAGGGGGCGCAGCCTCAGATGGCACCTCCACCCACTGTGTCCCCACAAGTTAGTTCCTCCACTCTGACACGCATGGGAGCTGTTGCTGTCATGGTGCCTGCTCAAAGCCAGGCTGGATCACTGGTGTAACGGCGTGGGAAGCAAAGGACAGAGAATCCCTCGCAATGAAGCGCCCTTTCTCGGTGAAGGCCTGATAGGTTGAGAGAGAAGGAAAAAAACGTGCTTCACTGGAACAAACTCTTCCTTCGGTTTGTTGACGAACCAGTGCAGTGTTCTTCATTTCAGTTTTCTTTTAAATGCTGCGATCAGGCTCATTAAAGAGAAATATATTTTTATTTCCATGCTTAGAACGAAAAGAAGTGTTGATTTTACGTAGCAGCATACAGTGATATTGTAAACCGTAGCAAGCAGGATGGTTTACTTGCGATTGTCGTGCAATGTTTTGGCTACATTTCTATGATTTCTACAACTTCATTGTAAAGAGATTTTTCTAATTTCATTTTTATGTTATTTTACCTGGATGTGTAAAGTTCACTTTTCTCAGGCTAACTGCACTCGTTCAGAGCAAAAACACACAATTCAGACACTGAAAATAGTTTCTAGAGTTTCACATTTCTGGCCCACATTCATGTTCACATCAAGAAACAGTTTCAGTGTGGGTTGAAGACTGATAAGGACTCAAAACGTGATGATTATGCTTGTTATGGTAGCTGGAATGTAACCAAAGTAGTGAGTATAAGTGTTAAAGGCGATGGTTTCTGACTATTTTGCTTAAAATTGTTGAGTATAACAAGATTACTGCAAACATATGGCAGAGCCAGTAGTGGAGACCGCTCAAGAAAGCGTCCATCCTCGATATCTGACCAATGTTTTCTGCTTGTTTGTTTTCATGATTTCAATTACACTGAACTCTGGAGATAACGATGCAATGATGTTCTGATGTTGAAATACTACATGTAGCACTTTTAATGCAGTTCTGACTGTTGATGGAATTTTGTTTTTCAATAAAATGTTCTGCAGTATTTGACTAAATATTGATCAGTTCCATATTTAATGGAAACAAAAACCTAAAGGTGCTAAACTGCAAATGAAGTCCAATTTAAGAAAGCTTTATTTGGAGTGTAACATTTCATTATATAACCTTCACAGCACCTGTGACATATTTCTGTAATTCTGCAAAAAGCAAAGAAAAGGATGAAATACAGTAAAATTGCAATAACCATGAATATACATAAGGATTGAAAGACCACTTTAGGGACAGTGATGCTGGGATTTTATGAACTGTTACTTTTTCTTATTACTTTTTCCTCTGTCATCTCTCCGTCGCTGGTGGATGAGTTTAATTACCTGGGGTAAACCCTTCAAAGCAACAGACGGAGTGCCAGCAGGGTGGAGCAGTTGGAGACGAGTGTCAAGGGTGATTTGTGACAGAAGGATTGAAAAAACTACACTGAAGTTGGTTGTGCTAACTTACATTACATCTGATGTGGCGTACCCATTCAAACATGGAGTCTAAAGGGTTTATTTATGACAATGATGCTGATTTGCGAGGGTTATTAGATGGAGGGTGGGTGGATGAACATACACTCAAGTCAGGAAACATTCATTGAAACTATGATGTGCAGGGCAGCACCAGTCATACTGTAACAAACCAGATATGAAGACCATAACAACATGGTCAGTTTAAATCCAGAGGACGAGCTTTATCACGACTCCGACAGCAGATTTCGGGAAATGATCATCCTCATCACTTCATTGGTTCCTTTAAGGGAAACAAAAGTAGGAAACAGCTGGTGAAAAACAGCATCACAGTTGCCTTACATGAAACCAAAGGAGCCACACTAAAATATGACAAAAGACAAACAAAAAGGCTAAAGAGAGAGAAAAAACCTCACCTTCTAGGATCTGGTGGACTCTGATGTCCCGGACAAACTGCTGCACTGCGTAGTCTTTAAGGTAACCGTACCCACCGTGCATCTGAAGAGCCTGGTTGCAGATCTGTTGAATACAAGCAGGAAAAAACATAAAAGATCACTTAATATAGTTAATTTCATGCTTTTTAGCCAAATACTGTTAATCCTCCTTAGCACTGCTCACATTAAAGCACTCGTCTGTGGCAAAGAGCTTGGCCATGGAGCAGATGGCAACAGCATCGGGGCGGTCCTCCTGCAACGCCTGCGCTGCTTCACGTATCAAAAGGCGAGACGCAACCAACTTGGTGGCCATTTCTGCCAGCTTGAACTGAAGAAACTACCATATTAAAAGAGAGGGGGGGGGGGCGTGAATAACAGTGGCAGGACAAGTATTCTGTTTCACTGAGTTTTCACTAAATAAACTGAAAACAGGGGAACCTGCTTACCTGGTTGTTTGAGAGTGTTTCTCCAAACTGCTTGCGCACTAACAGGTGATCCCTCGCCAGCTGCACAGAAGCATGCGCCGCCCCAAGAGAACAGGAAGCTGGCGGCAGAGTATTTAGAGGAAAACCAGTGAGTAAGTTGTTTGGCTTTGTTTTAAACGCCTTCATGTCAATGCCAAATACTGTGTGACCACAAATACTGACGGTTTGAGCTGAGTTATTACTGAGCAAACCACTGCTACTGGTCATAACCAAGGGCATGCTCATTTATAAAAGTGTGTTAATCCAAATCTACTGAAACCATTCGTCATGCCTTAACCAACTCAAGGTTTCTTTAAAAGCACGCTGCACGCAATTTATGCACAAATCTGTTTCCCCCGAAGCTCGTTGAAGCCCAATTATGATGCAGATTACATACTGTTACTTCTAGCTTTAAAAAAAAAAAAAGATTTACATTGGATTGTAAGTATAAAAGACACAGTTTTTGGATGCTTGGCTACTTGGGTGGTGTTTTCCTCCTTACCAATATTAATTCTGCCTCCATTCAGGCCTTTCATTGCGAAGTTGAAGCCCTGTCCTTCCTCACCGAGCCGGTTCGCCACTGGAACCGCACAGTCCTCAAATATCACGGCCCTGGTCGGCTGAGAGTTCCAGCCCACCTGGAGGACAGATTGTTTTTACCAGCTGATTGGCTCAATTCTGCCATCTAGTGGTTGAACACCAAAGTGGCGCAACTGTGAAGTCGTACTTTTTTTTCTTTTTTGCCAAAACTGAGGCCGGGGGTTCCCTTCTCCACCACCAGACATGAGATACCTTTAGGTCCTTTACCTCCAGTTCTGCACATCACGACGTAGACATCTGTGTCTCCTCCTCCACTGATGAAGGCCTAAAAAGTGCCGAATAAATTAGAGGAGCTTGCATTTCTACAGACCTTAAATGACATGAGCGTACAGACAGGTCTGAGTTACCTTTGAGCCATTCAAGACGTAATGGTCGCCTTTCCGCTGAGCAGAGGTCAGAAGAGAAGCAGCATCGCTGCCGCTGCCTAAAACAAGGATCGCAGGTTGAACTTTAACTAAAGTACTCACATGTGTGGAAGAACAACATACATGTGAAACGAATTTCTCACATAGACAGCTGTGAATAATTTTACACAAAGAACTCTGCTGTCTTTTCGCATGCAGACTCACCTGGTTCAGTGAGACAATAGGAGGCAAACTTCTCCATAGAACAGAGATCAGGACAAAACTTTTCCCTTTGCTCTTTATTGCCATAGCTGTCTATCATCCAGGCACACATGCTGCAAAGATAAGGAGGACAGAGGAGATTAACATGCAAATAAATAAATAACATACACTCTCTGGCCACTTTGTTAGGCATACCACTTCAACTGTTTGTTAACACAAATATCTGATCAGCCAATCACATGACAGCAACTCAGTGCATTTAGACATGAAGACACAGTCGAGTCGACCCAGTGATGTTCAAACTGAGCATCAGATTGGAAGAAATGTGATTTAATGATGGTGTTGGTAGAATACGTGCTGGTCTGAGTACACAGAGTACCACTCCTGTCAGCTAAGTACAGCAAACTGAGGCTAGGATTCGCACGAGTTCACCAAAATTGGATACTAGAGATATGTTGCCTGGTCTGTTGAGTCTCGATTTCAGCTTCAACATTTGACATGAACAACATGAAAGCATGGATCCATCCTGCCTTGTATTAACAGTTCAGCCTGCTGAAGTACCAATTATTTAAATGCTAAAGTGAACCTGAGTATTGTTACCGACCACGTTCATCCCTTCATGGCCACAGTGTACCCATCTTCCTGTATGTATAATCCAGACAAACTGACACCTGCTGTAAATATGGCGTCTTTTAAAAATGCTCCCAACCAAAATAATCTTATTATTCATACTTGTGGATGCTGATGTAGGCTGTGGTGCTCACACATCCCGTGGACAAAGCCTCAAAGATGATCGACGTGTCCAGCCGAGAAAGGCCAGATCCTCCAACATCTGGCTGAACGTAAATCCCACCGAAACCCAGCTGGGCCACTTTACGCATGGTCTCTACTGGAAAGATTTCCTGAGTGGGGAAGAAACATCTAACCATTAGCACACCCTGCCTAGTGCTGTTACTAGTTACTTATTGCCTAATACTTATTTTTACTTTTTTTTTCTCCTGATCAGGACTTTGGATTGATACAAAAGATTGCCTTTATATGAGCAAACATGGTTTTGAACCCCTCACATCTGTTGCTTTCACGTTTGATTAATAACAGTGTTTTAAGCTTCCTAGCTCATACCTTTTGGTCCCACTCTGCCATGTGTGGGGCCATTTCATTGGCTGCAAAGTCAAAGGCCACTTTTTGAAACTCCTTCTGTTCATCTGTGAGTCCGTGGGAAGCTGCAGACAAAGAGCGGAGGACATTAAATACAGAAACTGCTCTGTGTGCTTTTAACCATTACATACTGTTCATATTTCATGTCTTCACAGTCTGGCTCAGGTCACGTTGAACCCAGGCTAAGAATTCCCTCATAAGTGTCTACAGCATATTGTTAAACAGAGATTCATTTAGAGTATATAAATAGTCACCTTTTTTACTCACTGTGTATTTATAAACCTATATTAATCTCTAGCTCTCTTCCACAGTCTTTGTCCTGTCTTTGTCCCTCAACCCCAGCCAGCTGTGGCAGATGGACGCCCCTCCCCGAGTCTGGTTCTGCTGGAGGTTTCGTCCTCCTTCTAGTTTTTCCTTCCTAGTGCTGCCAAAGCGCTTGCTCACAAGAGGTCATATGAGTGCTGGGTTTTTTCTGTTTTCTTTGTATTATTGTAGGATCCTTACCTTACAATACAAAGTGCCTTGAGGCAAATGGTGTTGTGATATGGTGCTATATAAATAAAATAGAATTGAACTGAACTGAAAAACATCTAATATCATAGAGTATTATGTCCTGTTATACCTAACACATTACAACATAACAGCCACGATGATTTAAATAACATCTAGGTGTTGAATAATCCGAAAGAGAGGGGCGGTGCTAAGGAGAGGCGTGCAGCTTTCTCTGCCTTCCGACTGGAACTGAGATCTAACAAACCAACCAATGACAGTCGGCTGCGATAAATAAGTAAATAAAAGCGCTGAATATGTGTAGCATAAGCTTCTTTTTTTTAAAATCTTAATCAGCAGTCACGTTTGTTTGCTACAAAGCTGTGTGACTACTTAACATATCGCTGGTTCATTTCATTGCTTCAGGTCCAATGAGGTAAATGAAAGAAACAGAGTTTTTAGAGCTACTTGTATTACTTAAAGCTAGTAGATCTCGTTTTCTGGTACTTACGGTCGATGCATGCGGCTATTCCTCTTCTCTGTGAGTTTCCGCTTAATGTTACACGATTTTTACATATTCTGGAGCCCAGCCGGGCTATTCTCGACAGAGCTCCTACAGCAGCCATGTTTACCTCTACAGTGGTGAGTCACTCGGCAGCGGGACTGCTGGTTATTGTAGTTTGTAGTCGCACTTCCGGCTTGTATTACGCATTTAAAGGTGCCATATTGAAACGGGGTTCGTTTCAATTAAACGAAATGTTGAAAGTAAATATTTTAAACATTTATACATGTTTTGAAATTTTACTTTGATTTGTTTAATCACATGAAGTAATTCATTTATGCTAGATAACACAAGTGAGTATTGATATTATGCTTATGAAAAAGTTTTTGAACTACCACGGCATTTATTTGCTGTTATTTATTCAGATGTATGACATGACCAGTTTGATTATTACACTACAGTGTAGGGTCCATAACATTATTTTTTTAATTGTATATCTTTTTAAATAATGATATTTAAATTGTGAAATGTAAATGATGGAAGCTTGTGTCTACCACTGATTTATTTTTTATTTTTTTCTTTTGTTAACGTATTCACTTATTTTGCCATCTGTAAGTGAATATTTCAGGTTCACATCTCAGAATTCAACTTGAGAAGTTAATATTTTGTCTTAATAAATCAATAACATCTCAAGTTAATTAAAAATTTTTACAATTTACACTCTGCCTGGCAAAACTTATTTTGGAAACAAGCTTCCATAAAATTGTGAAGCTTGCATAAATGAATAAATGTATATAGCTTTGAGAATCCTTTTAACCTTTATACATTAATACCAACAATTCTGTAGGCTTTAACACATAACATAACACTTTGTAACCTCATATTTACTTTCTTTATCACATATTCTCAGACTATTTATTTTATTTTGGATTCACTTTAGTCGTTTCCATGTGTATCCTGTACACACTGAAAACTTACAATAAAGTTGACTTTGACTTAACTTACACCCTGTTTATTTGTAGGTTATAATAATAATAATAATATAATAATAATAATAATAATAATAATAATAATAAAGGGGTGTTATTGTCATAAAAACTGAAGTAAACAGGCAAACGAAAAATAAATAGACAATAAAATCCGATTAATTTAATTCCTAATAAACCAAAAGGCCTGAAAATAGTCACGTGTTCCCCGTACCAATATGGCGGCAGTGCTTCTACAGCGGACACACGGCAGTGGCTGGAGAATAAATCGAGTGCACCTATACGGTTTTTAGGTCACGTGTTGCAGTTTTTTCCGCGGGATTGATGGCTGGAGCTGTGCGGAGCTGAAGGTACGACTCCATGACTGATTATTACCGAGTTTATCTCCGGACAGTACGTTACGTCTAGTTTGCACGCATTCCTGATGCTTCTGCTGCTTGTTAGTGTCTAAGCAGTTTACACATGTAAATAAGAGCACTTATTCAGAAAACATTTAATAATACCAGCATTAATATTGTTAACTAGTGCAGTATGTTTTTCTTTAGTTACAGCAAGCACTTGAGTCACACCAAATACAGTTTGTGGTTGTGTTATTTAAGTTGAGGTGTTTCTAACCTTCAGTCTGCCACTACTGATGTAAACTGTGGTTATTAAAAATATATGTTAGTAACACTTCTCAAATTAAAGCTTCCTACATGAAGAAGATAATCACGGCTCATTGGAAGACTGCTGTGCTTACCAACATTAATTGCGGCTGGACGCAACTACCGGTAAATAAAGCCAAATTTATGTGATCTTGGACTCATTTTGAATGATTTTTAGAGTAGTCCGTTTGGGATTACATAAAGAGACAAGACACTGACCCAACCTAATGTTCTTCAGTTAACAACACTTTGTATGAACTTTAGAAAAGTATAAATGGATATAAATATAAGGGATGGAAATCATTAGTGGATAAAAAGGAAAAAATGCTGATTGTCTGAGTTCTTGGTGGGAGAGCTACCAGAGTACAAGTTATACCTAAAACTTCTTGTGTTTTTGCCCTCACAAGCTTTACAGAAACAAACCATCCAAACCTTTTGTGGATCTTTACAGAGTCAAAGAGATGCCACCAAAGAAAAAGGCCAGAGTCAGTAAAAGGAATACAGGTTCAGGTAGGTAAATCAAATCACAGAAGAAAATCACCTGTCTGATATTAGAAGGTTAATACACTCATCCTGGGCATGAATCTCAGAGTAATTTCAGGATTTCTAAGGATTTTCCAGGGTAGAATATTTTATAGCTACATCTTTAATTAATTAACCAAAACCATTGGGTGCACAAGTGTGAATTTATTTTGAATTTAGTCTCAATTTTATATAATGAGTCAAGTGCATTCAAACACCCCCACTAATATTTGGTTGACTGTCCTTTAGCAAGCTGCACGTCAACCACACACTTTGGGTGGGCATCAACAAACTTCATGCATAATTCTGGCTGCATGTTTGACCACTCTTTTTTTGAAGAATTGGTAGGGTTCATTCAAATAGTCCAGAAATGTTCAATAGGGTTTAGGTTGGGGCTTTGGGAAGGCCATCCCAGAAGCTTAATGTTAACCTGTTTTATCAATTACAAAACCAGATTTCACGTGTTTGGCATCATTGTCTGATTGAAACACTCAATTGTGTCCAGGTTGATTTGAGGTGAAGTTGAACAATTTGGACATAGTTCTCCTCCTTCATTATTCCATCTACTTTGTGCCCATGATGCTACCACCACCATGCTTGACAGTTAGTCCATGGCACTGTAAAACTAACTTCACTGTAGACAGTTTTCCTGTTGTTCCATTAGTTTCCCGTTCATGCTAGGCTTGAACCTTTTTGGTCCTTTAGTTGTTCCTGAACATCTGAACCAATTTCTGCTCATGCGAGGGTGACAGTGTGGGTCTTCTTCTAGAACCCCGGAAAGTTGTGTTTGCACTGATTATTTTGGAATCTGCATTTCTAAGAGACATTCCCAACTTGTGTTAATCTACAATTCTATTTATTAGATGTTTACTAAGTTCCTTCGATTTTTCCATTGTTCTGAGTATTGGTCAATCCAATGGGTGCTGCCAAAGAAATAACAACATTGCAGAACCTCCAGTGCCGCTTATTATTATAACTTAAGCGCTTGTTCTTGTTTTTTAAAGTCATCACAGATTTATGCTGTACAATCACTCCACCCTGGAAAAAGAACGGTTCAAAGAAATCATTAAAAACACCAAATTATTGTGACATTCAACCCCTCGAAGAGTGCGTGTAAACACAGTTTTAACTAAAGAGTGCTTCCAAACCACAGGCAAAGATGATGACAGGGAGCCAGTGTCCCCAGCTTTGAAGAAGAGGAAAGCTGCAACTTCTGGTGGAAAAACTGACGAGAGCTCGGCGTCTTCTGGTTCTCCACAGTACAGTCGCTGGCTGATGAAGTCTGAGCCCGAGAGCCGCTTTGAGAATGGCATCGACGTAAAGGTATGGAGCAGCACCAGCTTTGTCAGCGCATTTTAAAGTGTGAGCTGGTCTCACTTGTCTGATGCTTCCTGTTCACTCTGCAGTTTGGCATCGAGGACCTGAAGGCTCTGCCTGATCAGACCAGCTGCTGGGATGGCGTTCGTAATTATCAGGTAGAGTTGCAGCACAGAGTCCTGCAAAAAGAAGATGTTTATCTGAAAAAAGGAGCAATGCGCTGCTACTCCTGAAAGGGCTTTTCTGTCTCTGCTCACTGCACCACTGTGCAAATTATTTTTGAATTTGCTATGCTTATCTTCTGCAGGCACGCAATTTCATGAGGCAGATGAAAGAGGGGCAGCTGGCTTTCTTTTACCACAGCAACTGCAAGGAGCCGGGGATAGCAGGACTCATGAAAGTGAGTCGCTCTTCTATATTTAGGTAAAGCTCGAGACGGGCCCGATGTTCAGCTTCATTTCCTCTTTCTAGGTTGTGAAGGAAGCTTATGTGGACCACACTCAGTTTGACAGGAAAGATGTGCATTATGATGCAACCAGCAAACCAGACGACCCCAAGTGGAGCATGGTAAGCTGAACGCATTAAGCGCAGTTAATGATAAGACTCAAGCGTGAAGGCTGAGCTCGTTCTCTTCTCCCTCAGGTAGACGTCCAGTATCAAAGGATGATGAAGCGTTTTCTTCCTCTGTCGGAGCTTAAAAAGCACCACCTGCAGCATCGCGCTAAGGGGGGGCCCCTCAAGGACATGGCGCTTTTTACAAGGGCTAGGCTCTCTGTGCAGCCTCTCAACACCGGTATGACAGAAGCGGAAAGAAAAAAGTAAATAAATAAACAAATAAAAGAGAAATAGCTGTGAACACTGTTTCTTTCTTCGCAGAGGAGTTTGACTTCATCTTGAGTCTGGAGGACAAAGAGCCACTGTAAGGATTGACTTCACAGCGCAGCAAAATCATCACAAGTACCATTGCTTCACTGTAACTGTTAACGTTTATTAAAGATATTAAATATTTTTATTAGACATCATAGTCCAGATTCAATCTGTGAAAACACAAACATGTGGTTATGGCTTGAGTTTCTTGGAACTGGATGGAAAGCAGTGCCTCTTTATAAAGTATAAACAGAAGCAGCATTAATTATGGCTGACCTTTGCTCTCAGAGTAGCGTCAAGCATCATTTTATTGACGTTATTTAATTCATAATTTATAAACGGCAGCATATTTTACGACTCCTGATACCCTTTCAACGCTCGTTTTATCACATGGGAATAACTTGACATTGTGTGCTCAACTGCTGCCCGGTGATGACAGAGTGAGTGGGAAAATAAAACCCGCAAACAGCCTATGTGGCATGGCCTTCCAGGTATTTGCTTAATTGCAAAAAAAAAAAAACAACAACAACAACATGCAAAGGGCTCTTGGTAAATTTTCCTTTTTGTAGACTGTGGGGGACCCACATTAAATGAATTTAATGTGCTGAATGCTGAAAAGTACCTTATATAACCTCTGATGAGATGCTGGTTTGGAAGTATTAATGCTGTTGCTGCAGCCCGATGCCACAACAACAACTCCCGTATTATATGTCAGAGTCAGTCAGATGGTGTAGCACCATTTATCTCCTAACTGACATCACTGTTATTTAAATAGTTTTTATTAACTATTTCCAATTGATTTACTTGAATAATTGTGTATGCTGATGCAAAATAGCTACTTCGAACAGCAGTGGCTGAAAAAGCCCAGCCTGCTTTGGAACCCGAGCCCTGGGGCACACTGTGTGTTTCCACTCATGAAGTGTGGCCCAGGGCTCAGGTCACAAAGCTCCAGAGCGCTAATGACTGAATCAGTGTGTTGATATCTTCTGTGGTCTTTTCCACAGTCATAGTTTTATGAAACATTGTCTCCTTCGCTCTGGTTGTCACATTAGGATAACATCACCTTTAAGTTTTAAGCCTCGTCTTTAGTTGAGACCTTTCTCTTTACGTGTTTAAATTACACCTCAAAGCACATGCATGCATGTCCTCTTTCACCTGATGTTACTGTTGTTAAGATAAAACTTGTTAAGATAAAACGGATCTCCTAAGAACCCACCAGAACGTAGAAACCTGTTATAAAACAGATAAAACCGATATACAGACAAAGTCTTTTGTGGAAATGTCCTTATAATGAATATGTGGTCCAGCAGAAGTTGCTGTGGCTTGCTTGCACCGTTGCCTCAGAAGGTCCTGAGTTCGCCTCCAACATCTAGCCAGGGCTTCTGTGCGTGGTTTGTATGTTCTCCCCATGTTTGCATAAGGTCTCTGGTTTAACCTAACCCTACCCTGCCCCACCCCATGTTTTAAAGACATGCAGTTGGTAGGGTTAGATTAATTTGTTGTTCTAAATTGCCCTGCATCAGACTGGTGACCTGTCCGGGGTATACCCTGACTCTTGCCCTATGATAGTTGGGATAGATCCAGCCCTGATGAGAAAAAGTGGAAGAGAATGGATGGAAGGACATTTTCCTATGAGAAATTCAAAATAAAAATCTACTAATTTTGCAACTCATGAGAACTTAAAAATCAAACTGTACAGTCATGATGTGTATGTGAAAAACTGAAGTATATCATATCATTCAGTAGCTTGTAAAACCACCTTCAGCACCAATAAACTGATTATTGTCTGTATCCCTGTATTAGTCTCTCACATTGTAGAGGGATTTTGGCTCACTCTTCTTTACAGCATTGCTTCAGTTTATTTAGGTTTGCAGGGAGTCATTTATGCACAGCTCTTAGAGAGGTTAAAGTCTGGAGTTTGATGGGGCCACTGCAGCACCTTGATCCCCCCTCCCCTCCCCTCCCCTCAGTCACTCTGTTGCAGATCTGCTCACTACTCTATAGCAGTTGAATGTTAAATAAATAAAACTACATTAGCTGTAAGTACATTTTAATGAATGCTCAGGTTCATTAAGTCAACACATTCATTCATTTTCACAACAAAACCACAGAGAATTAAATTCATTTGGCATCAATTTATTAGACTTTTGGGAACAAGGAGTAATCGAGTAGCATTTTGCAAAAGATAGTTCTACTGTAACTTTCTCTGGTTAAAAGACTAAAATTATGTTAGAGGCAGGAGGATTCAATTAGCTTGATACACGTAGGCACAACTTTTAAGTCTCTAATAAAGAGGATACAGAAGACTTCATACTATCAGACCTCAAGACAAACACTTTGACATCCTTTCCTAACACCACTGGAATGCTGAGGTAAAGCTTATGGACATGAAACGTCATTTTGTAGCACTGTGTACTAGATAGTCTGTGTACACGAGCTGGAAACAGGATAACAGGTTTAACTGGCCTTATTTACAGGTTTAAAAACAAACGTGTGGATTAATACTTTAGCTCTCTCACTCAAACAGCAGCGAGAGATTAGAGTTTCCACTTCCATCCTTTTTTTGTGCAAACACACAAACACAGAAAAATGTGTTCAGCAAGGTAAAGCAGTGCAAAGTTATCTTGGATTTCTTGACCTTAGAACAATGTTAGGAATGCATTCATTAAACGTGGAATGTTGGAGATGCACTTGATGAGCATTCGTTTGAAATAATTATGAGATTAGAAATCAATTGATCCCAAAAGTGTTAGAACGTAACAAACAGAAGGCTTAAAATTTCAATTTCACATGGTTTTACCCAGCGAACAATAAGACATGGGTTTACTTTGATTCCCAAAAAGAACCCCCCCCCCCAAAAAAAATGCATTAATGAGGAAGGATAGGACCAGCAGCCTGAAGCCCATTTGAATGCCTCATGCAAACTGTTTCATAGTTCACACAGTTTTACCGTATGTCGGTCTCCCTTCTTTCTTTACTAGAAGCAGCAGCTACAAGTAAAGCAGCTGCCTCTCCAGATGTTGTACAGTTCACATGTACCCCCCACCACCCCAGTGCAGACCCTTTGTGAGTCCCGTGAGAGGAGAGCTGCAGCTCTACCCGCTCTCCTCTTTTGCAGCCTGTTCCAGTGCGCTCTCTGAAGCGGCTGATCCTTCGAACCTCTGAGAGGCGATGGCAGCCTGGTGAGACATGCTTTTCCTCACCACGTCCCCTTTTCTCCACAGTGTGATTTCCTGGAGGGGAGAGAAATCAAAGACAAATGTAAGGTGATGACATGAAGAACACCTCAGCCCATGACCTGTAAATGAAAGAAAAGGTACCAAACTGAGCACAGAGTTTTCTTAGCTCTCAAATGTGACTGATAAATGATTTTAGCCTTTTAGAACCAGTCAGTGGGACATCAACCAATAAAAGCACCACTACTTCTTATTCGCTGTCAGACTTGTTTTCTAGTGCAACATTTTCACTATCTAACACAGAAAAAAAGCAGAGCTCCACAATAGCACCTGTGTTTAAGAATTGCTATTGATAAGGTTTTACTGATGGTGTTCAGTTTCGAGGTTTCAAGCAGATTCTTTATTGATTATTGATCGATTTTCACCTACATAGGATTTCGTTTTTTGGGGGGGTTTTTAGTGCCAGTGCAGCAGGTCTATTATCTCTTCAGCTCCACTGCCATGAAAAAAAAGACATAAATAAATAAAACATGCCAGCACTAATAAAAGGCACTGATAAGCTGGGGGGCATAAGCTTTGGATGGAGTACAATTCAGAACAGAACCAGTTGGAACCTGCTCTCAGTTCCCACCTCTGATTATTCAGTAGCGCTAGCTGTAACTAGTCAGAATCGCTACACACTCACAGCTCTATCATAGCCTGTACCCCCACATTTAGAAAGCAAACAACAGGAGGATGTTCGCCAGCTTTCTTAGTGAAACAGGGTTCAGCTGCCATTACATCCTGGCTGTAGGCACACTTCAGTTATTACAGTTACGGCTGTGACACAACAGGATGTAGCACTGATTGACTACATGCAGGTGGCTTTGTGTGCCTACAGTGGTAGTTGGAGGCTGAGCCTCCTCTTGAAGCCACACTGTCCTTTCACTCTGACACAATCGAAATACAGAGGCAGTCAAAATCAGAACCACATCCAGCCACAGCTGCACTAATGTCAGCCAGGCAGAGCATCTGCAGCTGTGCCCACATCCACCAGCTGGATACTGTTTGAGAGCTGCCCTTCATATAGACTAATAAGCACTAAAAATCACATTCACATGGATAGTTTTAAACTAGTGAAGTAGAAGATTCAGAAAAATGTAAAAACGCTGTCTGATGTTTTGCTTCCAGTCGTACCTGCTGTTTGAAGTAACGTCTCTCCTCCTCGTCAATCAAAACCAGGTTCAGGTAGTAGCGCACCGAGAACTTCTTGTTGATGTCTCGCATGGTGGGGGTCAGATCATATCCAGCCAGAAATAATCGGATGGGGATGGACTCTCCTGCAATGTTAAACACACTCTCAGAGGCTGAGCAGTGTTTGCATTGTGTGACTTGTTGAAACTGTGAATAACTTTTGTTTACCTCTGACCGGCGCTCCATCCATGATCTCGTACTTGGCAATAGTGTCATTTTCGTGGTAAACGCTTGGGCCTGTGCCTGTTGTCTCACGTTTGATGATGTCAATCTCCATGTGTTTAATCTTAATTCTCACCAGCAGAAAATAGATTTTTCCCACAATTACATCTTTCAGATGGTACCTGGAGAAAAAGAAAAGAAAAGCACAGGCGACAACTGCGAATGAGATCTACAGTTTAGTCACTAACAAGCACAATGTTCAGTACATGCTTTTCATTTAAACTGATAATAAATCAATCATTGTTTCAGCTACTGGTTCAGTTTCTAAATAAATAAATGCATCTTTCACTTAAAAAGAGATGGTTTTGCTGATACTGTATAAAACTATTTCACTCTTAAACACAGCATAACAAGGGAAAAAAGTGAATGATAGTGGTTTGCTGCAGCCCTGCAAGCCTTACTTGGATTTGTTATACTCAAACTCGATGTGGAGGCAGTCCTCAATTCCAACTTCCATTTTAATGGAGGAGTTGAGCTCAGGATAGGTGCTCAGTGTGTGGACCACAATGTCCATCTCTTTAGTGATGTCATTTAGTCTTCTTATCACCGTGGCACGAAGAAAATATCTGAAAATAAAGCACACAAGCAATGAAAAAAGTGCCATTTCCTCCTTAGTAGAAATTCACAACTACACACTAATTGACCATAATGTCAAATCCACCTGCCTATCCTATCGTTTACTGCTCCACCTCATGACAAAGACTCAACCAGATGTCTGGTTGCAACACTGAAATGCATATTCATAATGCTGCCACCTCTTACACTGGTAAAAGCCTACCTTCTCCCAGTGCCCTTCCAGCTATGACGCTGTCGCATTCATCTGTAGGAACCTTTGGTGGTGGACAGGGCTCACCATGGTCAATCTGACTAGTCTGACACCTTCAAGTCAAGTTTAAAGCGTTTTCTGTTCATTCAATTAACAGAGTCCAACCCTATTACCCATTCACCTTGGATACGTTTTGATAGGTACTTATCACTGCATACAAAGAATACCCCAAAAGATCTGCAGCTGTCTTCAAGCATTCACAGTCTAGCCCTTGTCCAACATTTGCAACACATATTAAGTCGTCACAGTTCACTTTTCACCCCTCGATTGTTGACACTGTAATGATTTAACGTTACTCACTTCCACCGTCATTGGTCTGAGCAGCGTGCATGTACTGCAAGTCAAATGTGGGCAACATCAAGCTTGAAAACTGCTCAGTTTAAGTGCAACCACATGACAGGCAGGTTAACAAGTAACGCGCTCACTGTACTGCTGACAAAACGACAGTGAAGGATCAAACTTACCTTAGCTTGACATTCTGGCCTGTGTAGGACTCGTAAGGTTTCTCAACATGAGTGAACTCAAAGTCAAAGGTCTGGGACTGAGTTATTTCACCAGGTCTTGCGAGATCTTTCACCAGGGAAACAAATTCATGATGGTTTCCTCTGTCGTAATACAACTCTAGAACAAGAGGAAAGATAGTATTAAAAAAAAAACTATACTGTGCACGATTTTGGATACAACTGAGCTCTTGAACTCGTAATTGATTTTAGTGGCCAGAAAGCCATACCATGTGAATTTCACTTCTTAAAATCTATTTATGTGTCCAAGTTTTCACACAGCTCTTTCACAAATGTAACACTCAAGCAGGGATTGTCTGTGTTGCTTACAATTTCACTGCTGGAACTTTTAACAGTCCAGCTGCAGCAGATTAAGGACACTAGAGTGCAGCTTACAGGTGATCTGAAACAGGTCTACACAGGTGTAATATGTGGCCCCCTGTGTTTCCTTTCATGTCTAATATAAAGTTGAAAACTGAAGCATCTGTTTGTTTCACTGTTGAGGGATGCCTCCATGTTTCTTCACCCCACAGTCTATCACTCGCTGCTATTTTTACATACCTATTTGTCCCACAAATTCAATTTTGATGCCGTGGTGCTCCAGCCTCTTTCCGGGGTTCTTCAGCGTCACATTCACCTTTCCACTGACAGTCTCGCCGTCGTAGAAAAGAAAATATTTGTCTTTCTTCCCATCTTCAGTTTTGTGTTCAACCTTCTTCCTCGTTTCGGCGTCATTCAGGACAACATCGATTTCTGCGCTTTGACCAAAACTAAAGAAACTCATTATAATGCTGCGTCCTCGCTAACTCTTTATCTTATCTAAGTGCGAGTTAA